AAACAAACAAAAACAAAAACACTATGTACTCTTGGATCCAGTTGATAGAACTGTACCCAAATCCGGGCCTGGCTGGCCCAGTGCTCGAGGCCTACTGGTTCTCAGTCTGGCTTCAGACTCCTTCCCTAGGCGGACTCCGACCAATGATCAAGAGACTGACCGGCGACCTGTTCAATGCGGTTTTCTTTTCGGTCCTAAAAGGACTTCTATCATTCCGGGGAGCAGTTATCCGTCACCTTCCTTTTTTTTTCAGGCCGTGGATGTCATCCTTGCGCAGGGGCGTACTAATTTTCTCTACATTGTTCAAATTGTAACCGATGTCCTGGAGGACAAAGTCCCCTTCCTTAGGATTCCTTTCATTCTGTATGAGAGTGACTTTTGCGGTGTTGCTAAGTTTAAATGAAAATGACAGGCGCCTCCTGCTCCTCTCTCGGATCACCTTGGAGGGCTTGGAAGTACTTTTCGGGACACTACCAAGCACCTCAGGCTTGGGTGATGCAAAACACCCATGAGCTTGCAAGCCTTGCTCAGTCTTGATAGGACCAAGGTCGATGAAGAGTGTTGTAGAACCTATCTCGTGGTTGATGCTGGGTCGATTTCAATAAGCTCTGATGGCCAGGTGGGGCACAGTTAGATCTACCAGCTCGCCTGTGGTTAAATGACCAGTACCATTAACAACTGGCCGGGTCACGAGGAGGCCCACTGGAATGACAAATCTGATGTTGTGGGTCGTTTTGAATGAATGGTTGGCTGGAGGAGGAGGAGTGAGACCCCATGATTGGCTGGAGAAGAAGAAGAAGAAGAAGAAGAAGAAGAAGAAGAAGAAGAAGAAGAAGAAGAAGAAGAAGAAGAAGAAGAAGAAGAAGGGGGAGGAGGAGGAGGAGGAGGAGAAGGAGGAGGGGGGAAGAAGGAAAGGGGGAGGGAAGAACGAAGAAGGAAGGAAGAAAGAAGAGAGAAGAAAGAAGAAAGAAGAAAGAAGAAAGGAGGAGAGGAGGAGAGGAGGAGGAGAGAAGGAATGTGACAAGTCCTTGGATTTTCTTTCTTGTTGCTACCAAGATAGAACAAAGACAATACCAACTGAACCACACTGCCATGATCACCCAAACATGTCAGGACAGCAAGTCCTTGGATTTTCTTTCTTGTTGCTACCAAGATAGAACAAAGACAATACCNCTGAACCACACTGCCATGATCACCCAAACATGTCAGGACAGCAAGTCCTTGGATTTTCTTTCTTGTTGCTACCAAGATAGAACAAAGACAATACCGACTGAACCACACTGCCATGATCACCCAAACATGTCAGGGGCTGTCCTGTTGGAGGAGAAAGAACAAATGAAAGCCTGACTTACAGCCTCCAACGAAGCAGTGACAAGTCATCATTTGGATCGATTTCCACTTTTGCCTCAATCCGACGTTTTTCCATCAATGCAAATAGGCTCTTGAGCTTCTCCGCCAAATCTTTTGCAGGATTTCCTGCAGAGAGCAACTGTCACACAAGAGCAAATTTTATCACACAAAAGAAGTTGCAGGTTCCTGCAGAGAGCTTCTATCACACAATCCTTTGCAGGGTTTCTCCCAGGGAGCAACTGTAACACAAGGGAAAAATCTTCTTTGCCGATCTGCATCAAAAGAACGAGGCAACAAAATCCAAAGACTTCAACCACCAATCACTAGCATAAACACAGAGTGAGAGTGGGGGTTGAAGGGAAGAGAGAGAGAGAGAGAGAGAGAGAGAGAGAGAGAGAG